ACACTCAACTTCCGACGGATCTGATGAGAGTGACTTATCATGAATTCTAGCTATGCTTCTTTTTAAAATTGTCCTTTGTCTTTTTAAGGAAGTAGCGTCTTCCACCTGGCCTGGCTGACTCTCACTTTTACTCATCTTGATTCGCTATGCACAGTAACTTTGTACAAAATTATAGTCTGGAAGTTTTCAACGTGGCAATACGAAAACGAAAAAAATCGCTGAAACTTCACCAGAACTATCGAAAAAAAGGCGCAAATCAAGAGATAAAAGCTTATAATCCCTTAATTGGGAAAACTAGACGCGATGTCGAAAGTTTTTTAAGACCTAACCGTGAGAAAAAAATATGGTCAACGATTTTCCCAAACAATTAAAGCAGTATAGCTTTCGAAAAATATTTGACAGTTTTGGTAATCGGAGCCTTGTCGGAAATTGTACGAGGTAGTTTTCACTAAACAATCCCGAAATCTTGTTTCACGAAATTTGTATAAACAAACAATTTAATTTCAAAGTGAATACAAGAGATGCCAAAAATTAAAGCTTGTTGGGTGATCTTTGCAGCAATTTAACAAAAAACAACAACCTCAACAGCTTTTAATTGTTAGCACTCAATACCTGTTCTGTATGGACTGGGTCGTTTACAGCTTCAACTTCCCTTTTGCACAGTAAACAGCTGCACTTCATTCCTTGGCGAAAACTTTGTACAATCCTTAATTACAGCAACGATATTGTGCAGAAAACGGCACTGGCTAATCAGCAGCAGTATTTTTGTGTATGTGTGTGTGTGTGTGTGCAGCACAGTTTCTAGCGCAAATTGCTTTTTTTTTGTACTTAGCGCCTTTTGCGAGTAAGTATCAAACTTTTGCTTGTTTTAAAAATATATTGAGTAACGCACTTGTGGGTAAGTTAACCTCTTTAAATTTTTTATTTTTTTTTTTTAAGTATTTTGGGTAAGTACCTCTTTATTCAAATAATTTAATTCTTTATTTTCAGGTTTCACACTGCTATAGTTTTGTGCGCCACTGTGTATACGAACGCTTGGTGTGTAGCTAGGAGCGCAGGTAAATTTTGCTATTTGCACTATTATTAAAAAACTTAATAACTCTCTTTTATGTATTTTTATACCCGAGCGCACTTGTGCACAAGGGTATTATAACTTTGTTCACATAACGGTTGTTTGCAACAGGCAAAACGAATCGAGATAGATATAGACAAATGTATACATAAATGATCAGGATGAAAAGAGAAATCGATTAAGCGGTGACTGTCTGTCCGTCCGTCCGTCCGTCCGTCCGTCTGTCCGTCTGTGCACACGATAACTCGAGTAAAAATTGAGATATCTTAA